CCTGTCATCTGCTAGGAATGGGAGAAGATTTCAGGGTGGAACCCATGCAATACAAGTGGGTACTGGACTCTGACAGCCCAGAGAGGCAGAACACTACCTTTCTTTTTCAATACAAACCAAGAGTAGGACCTTTGGAAAAAGATGGCGGGGTGTCACGCGTCCTACTAGTGAGTGGGCTAGCTGGTAGGATGGGAATAGAGCACGGCAGCAGCAGAGATGGTGGCTCTGCTGCAGTAAGTCTTGCTGGAGTAGGGACAAGGGGTTGGATTGAGGGGTCTGCTTAAAATCATGAGAGTGTTGTAGACATGTCTGAAGTTGTTCTAAAATCTCTGAGTCAAAGCCGGGTAATGGCCCCGGTATTTTACCGTCCAAAAGAAGTAGCTCTAAATTCTTAGTAGCTTTCTCAGCCTGATTTTTTCTGATGAATTCCTGAATGTGTCTGTTATGGGACGCTGGGCCCGGTTCCCAGTTGGTGCCTATTTGTGAGGATATGGTTGTATCTGTGGGACGCTGGACCCGGTTTCCAGCAGGTGTTGCTCCCCACCAATAGATGGAGCATGTGTTAAAAAAGAAAGAAAAGAAAAAAAAAAGAAAAGAAAAAGAGATCCCTCCACCAAAGAGCTTGGCTGACGCCATTGGCACTGGCTTCCAGACGCTTCAGGAAACTGAAAGGCAAGAATGGCCCGCTGCCTAATTGGCATGCCATGTGGAGTGTGCTTAAAAAAGTACCTTCTCAGAAAAACGCGAGCTTACTGTGATGCAATCGTTGATGGTGGTCCCCACTGCCCACTGGCTATCTCAGAGAGGAGTGGATATACCGCTTACTTGCTCTCGTTGTCAGTGGGGATGGGAATCAAATGCCCATCTGTGGACATGCTGTCCGTTGGCAGACGAACTGTGGATGTGGTGGTCGGTGCATTGGCTACAGATGGCCGACAACTCTTTCGAATGGAATGATGACTGGATCCTCTACGGCCTTCTCCCAGATACGAGCCTGAATTTCTCTGAGGGGGTGTGATATCTGGCCCTTGTCTGCAGGGGGTATACTATGTTATGAAATCTGGAAAGCAAGGAATGCTTGTGTTTTTAGAGGGAAGAAAATTTCGGTATTCCAGCAACAACAGCAGGTTCGCTCCAATCTCAGACTGATGATCATTTCAGATTGGAGGAGCTGTAAAGGTCGCAGGGGTCGCTCCCGCCTGTGGTTTTCAAAGACATGGATACATAATAGCTATCTAGCGAAGATCTCAAATGAGGGGAAATTGATTTTGTCCCCCTGGCTAAAGCCCCCTTAGGCATCTCTCAAACGGGTCGTTGTTTTAGACTCGGGTAGGCAATTGGATGTGCTGCCAAGAAGAAACTTCATGATATATCTGGAATGGTAGCTAGGCAACGATGGACTAGCCTTGTCAGGGATAAACCGAGTCCTTTTGGGTAGTCTATTGGCTTTGCATGAATTTGGTTGGATTCGGGCACTGTTGAGGGACAGTGTTCTCCCATACTTCAAGGCTAACATGTGCGGAAACAAAATGCAGATTGATTTTAAGATGTATCCCCACATGCGAAGTTACAAAAAAAAAAAGAAAAAAAAAAAAAAGAAAAGAAAAGAAAAGAAAAGAAAGAAAGATTGGTCTCCAGCAAAGCTCAATGTTGAGCTACCTTTACCCTGAGCTTCAAAGTTTTAATTTTGGAAAGTATTTGGTCTAGGAGGGGACGCTGGACCCGTTTTCCGGCAGTTGTTTTTTCTTCTGGGAAGGTGGGATAGTTTGAAGCAGGTGGTTTAGTCTTCAGAACTTTCCTTACAAGCGAAACTGGCTGAGGCTGCCAGGATAACTCCGGGTAGAATTGTGAGGTCCCCGGCCTCGTTCCAATTATTTTTGGCAATATATGACAAGCTTTCCAAAAAAAAAAACAAAAAAAAAAGCAGTTCTATCTTTATTTCCTGCTCCTGTCCTCCAACACGTCCAGATGCAGGCATTCAATACTATCCTCTTTGCTAGTGGGACCACGCCCCAGAACAGATACTACACTTTTTTTTTTTTTTTTTTGAAAAATGGTTGTCAATTTATTATAAGGGCCCAGTGCCCAAGGCTTCTCAAAGTTGACATATAGAATGCCTGCATCTGCACATGTTTGGGAAAAAGATGCAGAAAATAGAGATCGAATTGCTTTTCTGCACCTCTGCTTAAAACACGTCCAGATTCAGGAGCGGAATCCAATCCTCTTTGCTAGCGGGACCTTGGCCCAGGGGTACTACACTTGATTGATCCTTCGAGAAAGGTATGCATGTCCAGATTTGTTTGTCTGTTTTCTTTTTTTTTTTCCCCTAACAAACACATTGTACTTAGAGTGCTGGGCACCGACAATTTATGGAATGTACATGACCGCTTTTTCCGACCCCGCCTGGACGCACTTGACATCAATTGCCTCCACAGAGAAGTGGAAAAAGTCGGTGAGGTGAGATATTCACGTCTCTCGAGTCTCGACTCTCTCGACACTCTCCGGGTAGTACAATGGCGCGGTTCGGACGCACTTGAGTCCAATTGCCACCACAAAAAAAAAAAAGTAAAAAAAAAGGGGTAACTTCGGCGCAGTCACGAAAACAGTTTGTAATTGCACTTCAGGCAATCCCGCGAATACAACACACCCCCACGTGACGCCACCGGACCCGAAACGTAGGTCATATACATTCAGCATTACGGGCCTTTTTGCCTCAAGTGCAATTACAAACTCAAACCCTGACTGCGCCGTAGTTTTCTCAAAAAAAAAAAAGGTCGGTGAGTATGCCCTGACCTAGACACGTCTCTCGAGTCTCGACTCTCTCTACACTCTCCGGGTAGCACAGTGGCGCGGCACGTCACACGGGCATAGTTTTTTGTCAAGTACTTCRAAATTCCCGTAACGCGCGCTTACATCAAGTTAGGGCGAGATCCCACTGGCAAAGAGGATTGTAGTAAGTGTCTGAATGTGGACGTGATTGTGGACAGGTGCGAAAAATTGTGATTGATCTACTTCTCTGCACCTCTGCGTGGAACACGTCCAGATTCAGACACCTCTTCCAATCCTCTTTGTCAGTGGAATCTGGCCTGTACATGTGACCGTGAAGTACCGCGCAGCTTGCCTGCGATGGCGCCAACTCGCCCCCATAGCCCGGCTCTCGACATTCTCCGGGGTAGTACAGTGGCGGGGGCATAGTTTTTTGTCAAAAACTTCCAGATTCCCGTAACGCGCGCTTGCATGTGATTCTGAGACACCACGGAGCTTGCCTGCAATGGCGCCAACTTGTCCCCACAGCCGTCTCTGGACTCTTTCCATTCTCCAGGGTAGTACAGCGCCACTCGGGCACAGTTTCTGTCAAAAATTTCGAAATTCCCGTAACGCGCGCTTGCATGCCAGCCAGCTCGGATTCAGCACCGAGGACACGTGGGGATCGACTGCGATGGCGCCAACTGGTCCCCACAGCCAGCCTGGATTCAGCAGAGAGGACACACGCAGGGATAGACCGCACTTGTGTAATGCACGCTTGCATGTGATCGCCAGATCCTGCCCAGCTTGCCTGCGATGGGGCCAACTCGTCCCCACAGCTACCTTGAATTCAGCAGCAAGGACACAAGCGGGGATGCACTGCGCTTGTGAGCAGGAGCTCTTCCGTGCACGCCTTGCAGGAGCATGCCCGCACAAGAGAAATATAAGGGAAGGTGTGGGCAGTCAGGAGCAAGGGCGTGCTCGTGAGTGGTGTGCCATGCGTGTCCGTATGAAAGCCAGTGTGCGGGTGTGACGGACCCGCCGGGATGGCGGTCCGTCAGGATCAAGACAAAGGGATGAGGATGGGGGAGATGGAGATGGAGCTGGAAGGGACAGCGCAGCTCCAACGCAGACTCAACACGCACGTACTCCAATCTGTGCAAATGAAGAATGACTGAAAAACAGACTACAGCTGGGGTATACCCCCAGCGGACTGACTGGACTGGACTGGACTGGTACCGATAGTGGCACCGGGCAGGACTGGACTGGACTGAATAACCACACGGCCTGTGGGGTAAGGCCACGGCCTGGTCCCACAGGCCGAACTGACAAATAGCCAAATAGGCCGTGGCTGTGGGCCAGGGCAGATGAAGGCCCGCTGCACGATCCTCATACCTGTAATGGATCGCAAGAGCCATAAACACGCTATCCGCAAAAGCAACGGAACTCTGCAACAAAGAAAGCTGAGAAATCTAGGATGCGGAGTGAGCTCTATGCGGAGTCCATGCGATGCATCCTAAGCTACATAATGTCACAAGAAAAGCATATGTCTGGTATACATATCCTAGCTAACAGCAGAAAATGAAATGTAGTATGATACAATCCTAAAGTCCTGGAGGCAATGACCTCAGTGCTGAAAGAAAAAGAGCAATATGTCACAAGGTAATGTCATGTCGCTGAACCACTAAGAGTGGGATGGTCTCAGAGGTTTGAATGCAGCCTAAGAATCGAAACTCCTAAGGGCAGTCACACATGAAGGTGGGATAGGTCATTAGGCTCAGGGTGGGAGAGTGGTAGCGAAACAAAACCAATGACCCTAACAGATAGACCACCAGGGCGGGTAATGCTCGACAAAAGGGTGACACCATGCAAGGTCGACCATGAAAAGGGKAGCCTGGAATAGGGTGGAGATATGCCTAACTGAAGGCATGCAAGAGCCGGCACTAGGGTGATGAGGGCACTGGGTGAGGGGAACATGCACACGACTCGACTGAGGGAGGAAGGAGCTAGATGAGGGAGCAGGGAAGCCAAGATAACGCTAGGTCTCAATGCCTATGCGATACCAAGGGAGAGTCCAACTCAAAGAGACCCAGCTAAGTGAGAATCATCATGCGACAGATGCACGGGAATGTACAGGGTAGGGTGGTGGCGTGAAGTAGTCACGTCCAAAGTAGCTGAAGCCAATGAGGTGGCTGAAGTCGTCGAAGTGGTCGATAACGTCGATGAAGTAGCAGTTGAGTCGATGTCGAAGCAGAGCCGCAAAACGCTAACATCCTGAAGAAGCTCATGATGGAGTACCTGATGGTGTGAGTTAGTAAGGGAAAGATAGAGGATAAGAGTGTCAATCATCGTAACGCGAAGGGTGACGATGAGTGCGCTGTGGAGGCTCGGAGGCGACCGTCTGCGGCTGAGGAACGGCCTCAGAGGGAGCGGGCGCGTCCTCAGCAATCTCCTCAACCGGAGGAGGAGGAAGAGGGTCAGTCGGCTGAGTAGAAGCAGATGTCTCAGCACGACGAGCACGATCATATGTACGCACCAACATCCTGGCGTGCTGCAAGTGCTCGAGAGGCTCCCAACTAGCCTCCTCATCAGGGTAGCCCTTCCAACGCACAAGGTACTCAATGCGTGGAGGGGTATCGTCGGTAACTCGGCGTGATACGATGTCGGAAACAACGAACTCCTCGTGACCGTCCACCATGATAGGTGGAGGACTCTCATAAGGGCGTCCGGCGAAGCGCTCGGACGGTCTGCGATAAGGACGCAGCAAGGAGACGTGGTAAACATCGTGTACGCGAGCCTGTCGAAGGTAATCAGGTAGCTTCACACGGAAGCTGACCGGACCAGCGGCAGTATCAGAACCGACGGCCTGAAGGATGCAGCATGGACTGAAAAAACAACGCCTGAACTTGCGAAGCGTATCTGCTTCGAGCTGTAAGTGGCGTGCAGATCCATTCGTGATCGGTTCGCTCGTGCGGTCATGCGAGTCTGGGAGTCGGCTAAACTCTCATGTGCGCGCTTCATAATCGCCGCCATGTGGGCGATCCAGTCGTCAAGCGCAGGGCAACGAGTGTCTGGCCGCAACCGCGATGGTCGTAGGAAATCCGCGGGTACGTGAGGGTGGTAGCCGAGGTCGCAATAGAATGGCGACATCCCCATGGCTGGCGAAACAGCGTGGTTGTACGCAATCTCCGCGTGGGCTAAGTGTAAGTCCTACTGCTGGTCATCCCTAACAAACTTTCGGAGGATATTACCGAGAGTTTTGTTGGTGACCTCAGTCTGACCATCCGTCTGAGGGTGGTAAGACGATGAGAAGCGGAGTTGAGATCCGTACACCTCGTGTAGGCGTCGCCAGAATGTATTGGTAAAGCGCAAGTCATTGTCGGAGATGATGCTCTGAGGTAAGCCGTGATCTCTCACGACTCGGTCGAAGACGATGTCGGCGACCTCACGAGCGCTAATGCAATAGCGGCATGGGACAAAACGTGCACGCTCCGTGAAGCGATCGACGACGACCAAGATAGCATCATGACCGCGCTCAGTGGGTGGGCGGAGGGGACCAATGAAATCCATCGAGATGGACTGCCAACGACCCTCAGGTATGGGTAGGGGCTGAAGTAACTCATACGGAAGATGGTTCGCACTGTTCACCTCCTGGCAGGTAGGACACTCCTGGATGTAGGCTTTGACAAAGTCCTTGGACTTCGGCCAGACATATAGGCGGCAAACACGAGCCAACGTCTTGTGGAAACCCATATGACCGGCATCTGCCTGGTCATGGAACTCTGCTACAGCCTGGACGCGGAGCTTTCAGATGGAGGGAACGCAGCTACGTGGTTCTAGCTGACCAGATCTGCCATGCCAGTACACAAGGCCGTTCTCCCCGAGGGAGTAGGAAGAAACGGTCTTACCACTCTGAAGTGTCGGTACTGAGTGCGATACGCGTCGATCACCGACTGATCAACACTGGTGATGGAGATGGCAGCAAGATGGATGGGTTCCTGATTGTGATCAGGACGGCGGGACAAGGCATCGGCGATGTGGTTCGTTTCACCCTTGATGGGCTGAGTGGTGAAACTGAACTCAGATAAGTCACGCCACTAGCGTGTCTGTCGAGGGGAAAGCTTAGGCTTCGTGAGGAAAGCCTGGACAACTGAGTTGTCCGTGCGCACCGTGAAGGGCGCCCCGTGCAGATAATGACGCCAATGTCGGGTAGCATAAACTACTGTGAGAACCTCACGTTCATCGGCAGTGTAGTTTATCTTAGCAGGCAATAGCTGACGCGAGTAGAACGTGATCGGGCAATCCCCAGCCCGAGCCTCGACAGTCCCATCCTCCGTGATGGTCGGGGAGTAAGTAACAGGAGGACTGTCAGTGCAGGGAAGTGGTGGGAGGGTGGGCGTCAGTCGAGAAGCAGTGTCAGCAGGAAGGGGGGGGAAATGAGGAACATGGGGGTAAGGCGAATCTGGAGGAGAGGGAAACACCTGAGAAAGGACAGCTCCTACTGCAAAATTTGACGCATCGGTGGTGACGATAAAGGGACGATCAAAATCGGGAAGGCGAAGAATCGGCGTACAGGTCACCGACTTCTTGAGGGCGCGAAAAGCGTCCTCGCACAGGGGTGTCCAAAACCACGGCGGGTTCTTCCAGAGGAGGGTAGAGGTAAGGATGTAGGAATACCTAGCGTATCCCTGAATAAAATTACTATTGTAGCTGGTGAGGCATAGGAAACTGCGAAGCTGCTTGGCAGACGTGGGGACGGGCCACTCTGCAATAGCAGTGATCTTCGCGTCGTCCATGTGGAGACCCTGGTCAGACACATGGTGTCCTAGGAAGTCCACTTTGCGCTGGGCAAAGCGGCACTTACTGAGCTTGGCATAGAAGTCATGCTTGCGCAAGCGCTGTAGGACATCGCGGAGGTGTCTGATATGGTCTTCTAAGGTACGACTGTAGACCAAGATGTCGTCTAGGTATACGAGAACGTATTCTTCAAGGATGTCCTTGAAGATGTCGTTCATCGCCGTTTGGAAGGTGGCGGGGGCATTGGTGAGGCCGGATGGCATCACCGTGAACTCGTAGTGGCCGAAGCGCAACCGAAAGGTAGTCTTCGACTGATCCTCTGTGGCAACTAGGATCTGGTGGTAACCGCTACGAAGATCGATCTTCGTGAAGAAGCGGTTGCCTGCCAGACGGTCAAACAGCTCATTCGCACGGGGCATGGGATAACTGTTCTTAACCATGTAACGGTTAAGGCCGCGATAGTCGATGCAGAGGGGGAGAGTTCCGTCCGCTTTGTGAGCAAAGAGGACAGGTGCACCCCAAGGGGAGTTACTGGGTTTAATGAAACCCAGTCGAAGAAGCTCCTCAAGCTGACGCTTGAGTTTCGTCGCCTCTGTAATCAAGAGTCGGTACGGTGCCTGATCGTGAACACGATAGTCAGGCACAAGCTGGATAAAATGCTCGACACCGCGCATCGGGGGAATCCCGCTGTATGAGAAATAGGGGGGGAAGACGTCGCGGTACTCTCGAATCAGGTCGCGAACGGTGGGCTCTAAGTCTGTTGTGAACCGTGTGAGTTCCTCAGCGTCTGTGTCGGCACGAGACGTATGTGTGGACTCGACAGTCGACGGAGCAGGGGCCTGGGACGTGGAGGGAGTATCCGCATGCTGACGAGTGGATGTAGAGATGGGAGCCGCGAAGATGGAAGGAGGGTGAGGGGGATCAGGCTCCAGAGAGATGAGCTCAACCTCGGAACAGAGTGGATCATAGCGAAGAAGATCCATGACGTTCACTGAGTAGAACGTGGCGTCCTCCTGTCGTATGAAGTGAGCAAACTGACGAGGGGAAGTGAACGCGATGTTGGGGTGGGACCCTGAGGGACGAGGGTCCTCGGGAGGTGGTTCCAATGAACAGGACGAGATGGGTCTGACCAGACTTCGTTTTGAGAACGAGTGTCTCGGTCGACCATTCGGCCTCTGTGCGACGGAACCGGCGAGACCAGGGAGTGCCAAGGATAAAGTCGTACCCAGTCTCCAACACGTCGAAGTACGCGGAGGAATGGTAGCGCCTAGGCGTTTGGGTACTATCCGATGGCTGGAGGGTGAGGGAGAAGTGGAGGTCGAGGACCGTCTGATCGAAGAAGCGCTGCGTCTTGTTATCTCCGAGGGTAACGGAGATAGGAGAGCGAGACCCAGAGGTAGCTAGGCGAGCTTCCTCAACCACTCGAGGGTGAACGAAATCTCCTTGCGAGCCAGAGTCCCATAAAGCGCGATACACCCTCGTAGATGTCCCTAGGCGAATAGGGATGATGGGTAGGGTGCGATCAGGGTTAGAGAGCAGAGCGAGAAGACGACGCAGGACGTTGATGTGTCTCGTGAGTCGCTCCTGACGAGCCTGCAGAATGCTCAAGTCCAGGAGAGATGACACAACGTCATCGCGAGTCGCCAGCTGAGCGCTACAACGGGTTGTGCGAATGGCGCGACGCGTCGGAAGTCTCGGGGGAGAAACGCTAGATGCGGCGGTCTGCTGGGAGGCAGACGATACCTCGACAAACGAAGGGGCAGAGAGAACTGCGTCTGTCATGTCATGAGGATCCTCTGGTGGGGTAGCCAAAGGGGCAAACCGCGACTCGGTGGTCGGGAAGCCGGCTACGAGCGAGGCTCCAAGGGTACACTGCACCGTGGCTAGCTGGGTGGGGCTGGCCGGGCAGGGCCGGGGGCGGACTGAGATCGGTGCTGACGAGAAATGTCAGCGTAGTACCGATCGAGGGCGGTGTGGTATGGACACCGTGAGGAGGTGTGTCCATCCTGGCGGCAACGAAGGCAGCCGCGTCAGGCCTCGAGGGCGGCACGCTCCTCGGGGGATAGAGCTCCGCGAGGAGGGACAAAACCCTGCGGGAGGTCTATCTGAGGAACTATGGGTGTGCGGGCGCCAGCTTGTGCAACCCGACTGCGTGCACGACCCATGGCAGACATGGCCATTTGCAGGCGCTCGGCTATTGGGACAGTGTCGTCATCCAAGTGGTACTGGATGACGTCCCGAAGCTCGATGTCCTCGGGGGTGTCCCCAATGGTAGGATCGAGCTCGACTGAGGCGTCCTCTCCATACTCGAGAGAACTGTAGTGTCGAGAAAATGGCGCTCCAGGTCGAGCCGGGTGACGAAAACGACCAGCAAATGAGGAGCGGCCTCGGGTGGTACCCCGAGACTGGGAGGTGGCGGCTGGCCGCGAAGAGGATGGGGCGACAGAGAAGCGACTGCACATCCTCTGGTACTGACGCGCAGCCTCATATGCCTGCTCCGCGGAAGAGAATGATCGCCTCCATAGCTCTAGGCGGTAGTCAGTTGGCAGGCTGACAAGGAACCGGCCGGTGAGTGTGACCTCCGGTAGGAACGTCTCGTCACAAACAAGGCGAGCGTCCTGAAACACCCAGATGTGACGCTCCAGGTCGGCCGGTATAGAGGACCCGGACCATCTGGTCTGGGTGACGAGGCCTAAGGCATCGGTGGCGTCATAACAAGCGCCGAAACGGTCCTGAAGGAAGGCCGCGAAGTCGGCCAGAGTGGGGACCTCACCCACGCGGAGGCGCTGGGTATAATGATCCTCCCACGCAGTGGAAGGGCTACCTCGCAATTTGGTTGCGAGCACATCGCACCACAACTCCTGAGGGGTGGTCGTCATAGAGAGTGTGCGCGTTGCTATCTGCAACCAGCGAGAGACACAGGATGTGCCATCATACTAGGGAATGTCCGTGGTGCGCACAGGAGGATGTCCACTGTGCTGATGGCGGGGGGAGAGAGATCGAGGCGAGTGCACTATGGCGGCGTAAGTCGAGGCCGCTGCAGGGGCAGAGGTGGGGGAAGGCTGTGGGCCGTGGCCGCTGGCGGATGAACCAGCAGACGAGGAGGCAACGACCGCGGGCAGCTGTCCCGGAATAGCCAAGTAGGAGGGAAGAGGCTGAAGAGCAGGTCGAGGGAAACGAGCCTGCATCATGGGGACCGAACGGGTGGTAGAGGAAGAAGGGTGGGCAGCCTGTGATGGGTGAGGTTGTCTCAGGGCGAGAATCTCTGCCTGAGCCTGCGCAATGGTGGCCTATAAAGTGGCCACTCGCTGGGTGCGCGGGGTCGGAGGTGGAGGGGGCGGAGCGGGTCTCCCGGTGGAAGGAGGAATCCCAGCCTGGGCGGTAACCTGCTGTGGGGGTGGGGGGACGAAGGCAGGAAGAAGAGGGCGGAGCCGTATTGCCGCGACCGGTGCGGGAAGCTGGGAAGCAACACCGGTGTGGGTCGATGAAACTGCTGGGCCAGAAGGCGGTACCTGAACTGCAGCACTTACGGCAGTAGTAGAGACGGTAGGGGCGGCCGTGACCGGAAGAACTGCCGCAACAGACGGGGTGGTCTAAGCGGCAGCAGCACTCGCCACCGCTGAGGGGGAGTGCTGGACCTGGCCCGCAGAGGAGGGGGAACCATGGTGACTTCGTCTTCGGAGTCCTGGGAGCCGAAATCGGAGCCGGTAGGGGAAGGGGTGTGAGAGCGGTGGGGAGAGCGATGAGGGGAGCCCTTGAGGCGGTTGACGTCGAGGGCTAGCGCATTGATTTGCGCTTGCAACGGTCCAAGCGTACTAAGTTGTGCCTGGATTGCTATAAGGACGGCATGAAGGTCCATGGTGTCCGCATGAGCCTGATCATGGGCCGCTGACGGCGCGCTGACCTGGGGTGTGGTCGTGGCGATATCCTCGGATGAACTCCCTTCCATGACCGGAAGGGGAATGGAGGTAGTCCTCAGAGGAGTGTGTGGGGAAAGGGGCCCACCGGTAAGAGGAAGGGGACCGCAGGAGCGGAGTGAGTATATGTGAGTCGGCTCGTCTCGGATTTTGCGGGTCGCGCGTGAGACGAAGGCGCCGAACCGCTCGAGGGGGGAGGAACCGTCCAGGTCCAGGGTGCCTGACGGGAGGAGGTGGGAGAGTAGGAAAGGGGGCGAGAGTTGGGAGAACCCTAAACCCTAGAAAACCCTAAGAAAATCCTAACCGGAGTTTAGGTGGTTAGGGGAGGGTAGCGGTGACCTAATCAAGAAAAAAAGATAATATGGAGGGGAGGGGGAAAAAAAATAGAATAAACAATAAAATTTCAAGATAAAAATAAAATAAAAGAAGAAAGAAAAATAAATAAAAAAATAAAATGTAAAGAGTGAGGGAAGAGGACTTATTTATTTTTTTGAAAATTTCGGCAGCATTTTYTTACCCCAACGGGGTCAAAATGTGTAAAGAGAAAGGAGAGACTAAGAGAAGCACACTAATTTTCACAATGCCGCAAATTAAAATTTTCAGAAAAATAAGTAAATAAATAAATAAATAGATACATAAATAAGGAGGTGGAGGAGAGTGAAGAGAAACTAACCAAGTTTTGGATTTTTCACAAATTTTGGCAGCACTTCGTTACCCCCAGAGGGTCAAAATGTGTGTCAAAAGCAAGAATGGGTAAGTCATAATCAGATTTAAGGGTGCCGCAGAAAAATTCAAATTTTTAAAATAAATAAAGAAAAATAAAATAAATCAGAAAGATGAGAAAAGAAGTAGGGAAGAAGATAATTCGAATTTTTTGAGGAACGAAGAAAATTTAAATAAAAAAGAAAGAGAAAAGAAAAAAAACAGAAAAAATCGAAGTGGGGGGGGGGGCGGATGAAAAAGTGATGAAAAAAGGAAAAAAATAGGTGGGAAAAAGAAGAGATTGAAGTGGTAGGTGAGAGAGATGATGGGGTTGTAGTTGGGGGAAGAAAGGAGGAGAGAAGGGTGAGAGAATGAGAGAGAAAACTATGGAAAAGGTGAAGAAAAGAGTGAGAGATTAGTAAAAGAAGGTGAGTGGAGAGAGAGGAGAGAAAAAGATGGTGGGAGATGAGTGAAGAGGGAAGGGTATGAGAGATTAATGGGAAGGAGAGGAGAGAAGTAGGGAAAAGAAACAAGGAGAGTGAGGTTGGGAGAGGAGAGAGCAAAAATATGGTAGTGGATGGAGAAAGAGTGAAGGGGATGAAAAATTAGTGGGGAGAAGAGGAGAGAAATGAGAAAAGTGGAGAGAGGAGTGAGAAAAGGTGATGGATGAGTGATGGTGAAAGAAAAAGAAGGTCAGATAATGAAGGGGAGAGAGGGAAAAGGGAGTGGGAGAGTGGATTAGGGATGAGAGAGGTGATACCCAACTCTTGGGTAACCAAGAGCATACAACTGCACCAAGATCCACAAGATCTTGGCCTTCACACACCCCTTGGGAGAAGGGGTCTTCAAGGTGGTGATGAACTGCTGCTGCACATTATCTGGGGTTGGCTGAGATCTTGATCAGTCACCCAGTTCCACTGTAATGCAGCTCTATAGCCAGGGGAGTCTTCAAAAAAATCCTCAGCAAACGTGGCACTTTTGGAGATGGTCACGGGTCAAGAGAGGAGATGTAGAGGGCAAAAACTCTTTTGCCAATAACTTTTCACCCGCTGGGTGAAATTTGGCAAAAGAGGTCTTGTTGGAAAGCTTTTTGAAAGC